CGTCCGGTCTGCCGGTACAAGAGAAGCTGGTTTGGACAATGGGCCAGCCGTAAATCGGGTAATCGACACCAGGTTCACCAGGAACGGATTCCCTCAACCATTCCAGGGGGTCGCTGCTGTGGTGGTGGTGGTGGTGGTCGTGGTGGTGGTGGTCATGGTCGTGATCTGTTGGAGGTGGGCGAGGGGGTCGTGTTGGAGGGAGGGGTGGTGGGCGAGGAGTTTGGATTGGTGGGCGAGGAGGTTGAACTGGTGGGCGAGGAGGTTGAACTGGTGGGCGAGGAGGTTGAACTGGTGGGCGAGAAGGTTGAACTGGTGGACGAGGAGGTTGAACTGGTGGGCGAGGAGGTTGAACTGGTGGGCGAGGAGTTTGAACTGGTGGGCGAGGAGGTTGAACTGGTGGGCGAGGAGGTTGAACTGGTGGGCGAGGAGGTTGAACTGGTGGGCGAGGAGGTGAACGTGGGAGGATTGAACTGGTGGGCGAGGAGGTTGAACTGGTGGGCGAGGAGGTTGAATTGGAGGGAAAGGTTGGACTGGTGGGAAAGGTTGAATTGGTGGGAAAGAAGGTTGAGTGGGAGGTCGAGGAGGCTGGGTGGGGGGTCGAGTGGGAGGTCGAGGAGGCTGGGTGGGGGGTCGAGTGGGAGGTCGAGGAGGCTGGGTTGGGGGGTCGAGTGGGAGGTCGAGGAGGCTGGGTGGGGGGTCGAGTGGGAGGTAGAGTGGGAGGTCGAGGAGGCTGGGTGGGGGGTCGAGTGGGAGGTCGAGGAGGCTGGGTGGGGGGTAGAGTGGGAGGTCGAGGAGGCCGGGTGGGGGGTAGAGTAGGAGGGATTGGAGGTCTAGTACCAGGAGGGAAAGTCAGCGGAGGCTTTGAGGTTAGAAAAAAAAAATTACATCAGTCACACCATCAATGAAAAAAAAAACAGCAACATTGACAACACCATTAATGAGAAATAAACGTTTCTGTATCACACAAAACAAAATCAACTCTTGTATAAGACACAAATCACACACATCTTATTATAAACACAATTTACAAGCCAAAGACAGAGGTTCACGACCTTATATACTCACAACATCGAGCGGAGGTGGTCTCGAGGGCGGTCTGGTAGGCGGTCGAGTGGGCGGTCGAGCGGGCGGTCGAGTGGGCGGTCGAGTGGGTAGTATCGAGCTATCGCTGAGAGAGGAGCCCCCATGTTCGAAAGGTGTTTGTGGGGGAAGGTAGCCATACCCGCCACTTTGGGCCCAGCTCACTCCTATGCATCCTGTCAGAACGGGAGAAACAAGAACGTGAGGGGGATAGGAACGTACAAGAACGCGAGGGAGATACGAACGTACAAGAACGTGAGGGGGATAGGAACGTACAAGAACGCGAGGGAGATACGAACGTACAAGAACGTGAGGGGAATAGGAACGTACAAGAGGAGAAAGCGTAGAGGGGGATAGGACTAATATTAATATTAGTCACTTAACAGTCGAAACCTTTATACGATGTTTCACTCTCAATAAAGCCTCAAAATGGGCGAAACATCATCTAACAAAACTTTTTAACTGCTAAAAAGGTATGTGAAAATATTTTTTGTTACCCCAGTCTACCCCCGGTGGACAATACCACCATGCAGAACGTTTCGTTCTTTGCAGAACATTTCCATGACCTGAAAAAGCCTTTGCCTGGGGCGAAACGTTGTCCACACACCTGTCCACGTGAACATCAAAATGGTATACAATACCGACAGGTTGTTAGGTAAGACACATATGCAACAGTTAGACAACTGGAACTGAACTTCTCCAGGCTGAGGGACTGACAACCTCAAATTCTACGACTACAAGGGTGATGGACTGATTACATCGTCTTCACATCTCTACTGTTCCTGCCTACTTTCTGTATTCGACTGAAGAAGCCTACTGTGTAGGCGAAACGTTTCGGAATAAAGTCTAACTGTTGCATATGTGTCTTACCTAACAACCTGTCCACGTACCCGCCGTGTTACGGCCTATAAACTAGAAAAAAAATCTAAAATTTTCGATAGGCTTTTAATGAAAGGGCGTCTACTAAGCGCATTTTTGTGTGTGTGGGAAAAGATGCATCCAAAAAGGCTACTTAATTTTGCACTGTTTTTCAAATTGCAGTTAACGAGGAAAACCGCACTAATTGAGGGCGAAATGCAGTGGTTAGTTCAAGTGGGAGAGCACCACCTCTTCAGTGGGAACTGATTGGTACTTCATGAAGCGTTGAAATCACCAGGCAAATCTGAGAGAGGATTTCCCGTATCGTTTTAATACAGTGGACCCCCGCCTTACGATGGCATCGCGTTACATTAAATCCGCCATACAATACATTTTAACGCAAAAATTTTGCCTGGAGTGTCTTGAGGTACTCAGATTGTCTTGAGGTATCCAGAGTGTCTTGGGGTACCAAGAGTGTCTTGGGGTACCCAGATGTACTGTGAGTACCCAAATATCGACACACCACGACGCAGCAACATGCCGTGGGGACGGTGTAGTGTCGACACGAACACAGGACGCCGCTTAAGCTTCTGGTGTTGACCTAAGCGACTATTTTTGGCGTTCCCGTAAACATGACGTTGAGTGCGTGTTGATCCTGCGTGACTTTTACCCTCTGTGGGTTAAATCCTGTGCTTGCTGCTTCCTTGTATTATCACACTACCCACTGTGGGTTATCTATTGAATACAATTTATAAATCTCTCTCTCTCTCTCTCTCTCTCTCTCTCTCTCTCTCTCTCTCTCTCTCTCTCTCTCTCTCTCTCTCTCTCTCTCTCTCTCTCTCTCTCTCTCTTACTTTTAGGTTTCTCTCCTGAGCTGCCTATACCTTCCTCGGATCTCTGGGGTAAATGGTGGTTAGGTGTTCTCCATCCAAGAAACTGGAGCTGCCTATACCTTCCTCGGATCAGATTTGAGGACACCTCCCCCGCCACCAGGAGTTGTTTGAAGCTGTACGGGTTTAGCGCCTCCCCATACATGTAAAAAATATCGTTAGTGTTAACAGAAGTACGGAGGAAACTGTACAACAGATGGCGCTGGCTCTGACAAAATCCTGATAGAACGTTCAGATAGGCAGGCCATGTAGGCAGGCCAGGTAGGCAGGCCAGGTAGACAGGCCAGGTAGGCATGCCAGGTAGGCAGGCAGGCCAGGTAGGCAGGCCAGGTGGCAGGCCAGGTAGGCATGCCAGGTAGGCAGGCCAGGTAGGCAAGCAGGCCAGGTAGGCAGGCCAGGTGGGCAGGCCAACTAGGCAAGCCAGGTAGGCATGCCAGGTAGGCATGCCAGGTAAGTAGGTCAGGTAGGCATGCAAGTAGGCAGGCCAGGTAGGCAGGCCAGGTAGGCAGGCCAGGTGGACAGGCCAGGTAGGCATGCCAGGTAGGCAGGCAGGCCAGGTAGTCAGGCCAGGTGGGCAGGCCAGCTAGGCAAGCCAGGTAGGCATGGGACCAGTGTAGGCCATGCCAGTAGCAAGCCAGGTAGGCATGCCAGGTAGGCAGGCCAGGTAAGCAGGCCAGGTAGGCATGCCAGGTGGGGGCAGGTAGGTGGGCAGTGCAGGTGGGCAGGCAGTGTGGGCAGGTCAAGTGGGCAGGCCAGGCAGGCAGGTGGCCAGGCAGGCAGGCAGGCAGGTAAGTAGTGGGCAGGCCAGGTGGGCAGGCCAGGTGGGCAGGCCAAGTGGGTAGGCCAAGTGCAGAAAAGATAACTGTGGTGACACCTGCAGGAATACCACCACCTCCACCCCTTGAACACCCCGACCCCCTTAACCAACACCTACCCCCTTAACCATCCCTCCCCCCTGAAACACCCCTTAGCAACCCCCTAATGGCCTTGAGGACTGAAGATGCTTGCATTACCTCCCCCTCCCCCTCCCTTCCCCCCCCCTCCCCCTCCCCCTCCCTTCCCCTCCCCCTCCATCTCCCCTTTCCCCTCCCCCTCCCCTCTTTTCCTCTATCCTTCCTATCTCCTTCCTATCCAGGGTCACAGTAATTCCCTCCCACCAGGAGTCACAGTAATTCCCTCCCACCAGGGGTCACAGTAACTCCCACCAGGAGTCACAGTAACTCCCTCTCACCAAGGGTCACAGTAACTCCCTCTCACCAGGGGTCACAGTAACTCCCACCAGGAGTCACAGTAACTCCCTCTCACCAAGGGTCACAGTAACTCCCTCTCACCAGGGGTCACAGTAACTCCCACCAGGGGTCACACGTCGCTCTCTTCCACCAGGGGTCACACCAGGGTCACACCTCACTCCCACCAGGGGTCACACCTCACTCCCACCAGGGGTCACACCTCACTCCCACCAGGGGTCACACCTCACTCCCACCAGGGGCCACACCTCACTCCCACCAGGGGTCACACCTCACTCCCACTAGGGGTCACACCTCACTCCCACCAGGGGTCACATCTCACTCCCACCAGGGGTCACACCTCACTCCCACCAGGGGTTACACCTCACTCCCACCAGGGGTCACACCTCACTCCCACCAGGGGTCACACCTCACTCCCACCAGGGGCCACACCTCACTCCCACCAGGGGTCACACCTCACTCCCACCAGGGGTCACACTCACTCCCACCAGGGGTCACACCTCACTCCACCAGGGGTCACACCTCACTCCCACCAGCGGTCACACCTCACTCCCACCAGGGGCCACACCTCACTCCCACCAGGGGTCACACCTCACTCCCACCAGGGGTCACACCTCACTCCCACCAGGGGTCACATCTCACTCCCACCGGGTCACACTCACTCACAGGTACAATCTACACTCCACCAGTGGTCACACCTCATCACAAGGGTCAACACTCACTCCCAGGGCCACACATCACACCACAGGAGTCAGCATTCACTACGCACCAGCGGTCACACCTCACTCGACCAGGGTCACAACTCACTTCACCATGAGGGTCAACCCACTCCACTAGGGGTCACACTCACCCACCAGGGTCAAACCTCATCCCACAGGGGTCACACGACTCCACAGGGGTCACACCAACTCCACCAGTGGTCACGACACCACCAGGGGCCACACCTCACTCCCACCAGGGGTCACACTCACTCCCACCAGGGTACACATCTCACTCCCACCAGGGTCAACACCTCACTCCCACCAGGGTCACACCTCACTCCCACAGGGTCACACCTCACTCCCACCAGGGGTCACACCTCACTCCCACCAGGGGCCACACCTCACTCCCTCAGGGGTCACACCTCACTCCCACTAGGGGTCACACCTCACTCCCACCAGGGGTCACATCTCACTCCCACCAGGGGTCACACCTCACTCCCACCAGGGGTCACACCTCACTCCCACCAGGGGTCACACCTCACTCCCACTAGGGGTCACACCTCACTCCCATCAGGGGTCATATCTCACTCCCACCAGGGGTCACACCTCACTCCCACCAGGGGTCACACCTCACTCCCACCAGGGATCACACCTCACTCCCACCAGGGGTCACACCTCACTCCCACCAGGGGTCACACCTCACTCCCACCAGGGGTCACACCTCACTCCCACATCTCTTGTGAATCGTAAAGTTGTACAATGTTGTACATAATTACGTAGTCTGTAGTGTTTAATTATTAAATATGGTAGCGGATGAACATTGAGGAGAAGGAATGGGAAGAGAGAGATTGGCATAAGAGAAGGGAAGGAGAGAGGAGAAATGAATGTGAATGAGAGGAAGAAAGGTTAGAGAGAGAGGAAGCAAGAGTTAGAGAGAGAGGAGAGAAGAGAAGAGAGAGAGAGAGAGAGAGAGAGAGAGAGAGAGAGAGAGAGAGAGAGAGAGAGAGAGATACATGTGACTACATTGGAAAGACACAACAAAGGGCTTTAGAGTTGACATCAAGGCTGTCTGGTGAAGAGAACCGTCTACTTCTAGCTAGGTTCAGAACTGTCGTGCATCATTTGGGTGTTCGCGGTAAGAACCGGGCAGACAACTTTCTCAGATTCATTTAGGAACAAAGACTTGGATAAACATGAAGATATGTGGGAATATGATGGTGGTGTATAAGAGTTACAAGTTGGTGAGTAAGACACATGTTTCTCCTATACAGAAGGAGTCTTCAGTCGAGTGCAGAGGCGGCAGCAGAAGCAGTAGAGGTGTAAAGACGGTGTAATCAGTCCACAACCCTTGAAGACGTAGGTCTGGAACGTTGCTCCAGACTGTGGAGGAGAACTCTTCTCCAGACTGAGGGACTGACCACCTGATGGATTGGTTATATCGTCTTGACATCTGTACTGCTTCCGCTGTCTCATCTGTACT